ATCATTGTCTAAAGGACACTTGTACAGTTAAATTCCTTTTTGAGTAGGTAGATGGTTCTTACGTACTTGCTCCTTTTAAAACAAAACAAAACTTTTCGCACTTACACCCCTTTCAAACAAAAACTCTTTTCAAACCCACAATCACAAAGAAAAGCAAACTTTTGAAAACATAATGAGCAAGTACCTAAGAGCCAGTGGATAACCACGGATAAAAAGGGTGCTAACACCTTCCCTTTCTATAATCTACCTCCCGAACCCGAGAAATATCTCAAAAAGGAATTTTTCTGTGCTTTTGTCCTTTCCTTGTTGGATAAAATAAAAGATGGTGGCGACTCTTGCTTACCGCGACCTTTTTGCGAAAACAAACGCAAAACGTGAACCAGCATTCCAAAACAGTCAATTCTATTCCCACCGATCACACTATAGTACAAGAGTCGGCTGAGACTAATAGGCAGTCCGCTGAAACAAATCGACAGGTGATTACCTAATTAACACGTTTGTGTAATTTTTTAGGTGCTCCCTCAGCACCTATTCGACAGGCGCCACTTATTCGACTAGATGCCCCTGGTCAAATGGACACGGGGTCAATACAGGATGAACTTGTCCATTAGGGACAAGTGCTAGTACCTCAAAGGAATTTGATTGTCGATCCACCTAGGGCATTAGTACATCAGCATCAAGTGGCTGATAAAATTGTTAAACAAATTCGACAAGAGGATTTAGTCGTAGAAAATAATCTAACCACCATTGTCGAAAGAATTATGGCTAGGAATGATATGAATACCACATTTCAGAGGCCAACATATTCTTCCCCTTTGTCTGAATATATCTTACAGACTGAAAACCCTAGAGGATGGAAAATTCCTAAGCATACAAAATCCGGGGGAGAATCTGGAGAGTCGATAGTGGAACATATTGCTAGGTATTTGACTGAATATGGGGATATGTCGAATAACGAAAACTTAAGGGTAGAACATTTTCCTTCTTCCCTTACTAAGGAGCTTTCACGTGGTTTACCACTTTGCCTCCAAATTCGATTGACTCATGGACTAAGTTGGAAAAACTTTTCCATGAACAGTTTTATGAGGGTCATTCAAAAATTAGTTTGGTTGAATTGTCAAACATTAAAAGAACGTTTGCTGAAACCATTGATGATTATCTAAATAGATTTAGGCCATTGAAAGCAAGATGATTTACTCAAGTACTAGAACATGAGCTTGTTCAAATGGCTGCTGCAGGTTTAGATTATTCCATTAGGAAGAAAATATATCTGACCTTCATGAAGAGTATGTCACAATTAGCTAATAGAGTTCGACATCTAGAGCGTCTGCGACTAGAAAAGGTCATACATACTAAGACTAGGACTAAGAAAGAAAAAGTAGCCTTCATAGATTATGATGACACATATCCCATTTGTGAGGAAACTATACCTCACCAACAGAGGCAGAGGTCGACGTGGCTGAAATGAAGCTAGGGACAACATATGAATGTAAATCACTATTTCCTGCTAAAGGAAAAAATACGATCGAAAACATCCAAAATTTCCAGCGAAAACTTATACGTTTGATGTCACTAAATATGAAGAAATTTTTGATTTGTTAGTTAAAGATGGTCAAATTTTAGTACCCCCAGGTGCTAAGTTACCACTATTAGAACAACGACAGAAAAGAGGTTTTTGTAAATTTCATAATTATCTTAGTCACACAACCTCTCAATGTTATATTTTCAGGGATCTCGTACAAAAATTGTTGCAGGAGGGTAGATTGAAATTTTATGCACGGAAAATGAAGATTGATACTGATCCTCTTAGGCAAGAGGAGGCTTTGTTTCTTGACCCTGTTGACATCAACATGGTAGAAATTACTGAGTTTCCTAATGATGATATGGTCGAAGAGGGTACTGGAGAAAGTCCTGATGTCGACTTAGTTGATGTGTACCCAAGGTCTGAGGAGGACTTGCTAGACTTCCTTTACCGCTGTAAGAACAAAGGTTCGCAAGCTTGCTTGTGTCCTAGGTGTGGCGCCTTGACTGAAAAAATAGCTGCTGGAAATTTCTAGAAGTTGTAGTTAGAAAAGAACAAGGGCAAGCCGTACAATCAAAGGTTCCCTACACCAAGCGACCCAAGAAGAACTGTGGGAAACTCCCATGCCAAACCAAGAAGTTATATTCCTTCAGCAAAAGCTCCTAACGGTACTTGGATTAAGCCTCAAGGGAGAAGGGGGGCACCAATTGATGGTGCTATTGCTAGAGACCCAAACAAAGGAAAGTCGACTTTTAACTACCGACATGAGCTTAAGTCTAAGAGGAAAAGTAATATTTCTGAAAATCACATGAGGAAGAATCCCATGACTCGAACCCAATGGAGAGGCTTCCAGCGTCGAAAGCAGGATGAGAGGCAAGCATCTGTTGGCCAGATTACTGCAAACAAAGCTGGCAATGAGAAGCAATATAAAGTGAAGGTCAATTCCTCTGTAAAAGAATGAATCAAAGAGTTCGTGAGTCGACCAGTTGCTAAGTGTTATGAAGAAGCTACTGACAATTTTGAGTCCGAGTCTAAAGAGAGTTTGAATATCTTAGTTAATGTGGTATTTTGCCAGTAGAATATGATTGCTTAACTGAACTGGAAGATTCGGCAGACGTTAGAACTAAGTTTTCTTCTATTATTATTTCACAATTTTTTCTAAACATTAATATTCAAATTATTTTCATAAACAAACTATTTAACTTAAGTTTTATTTTCTCCTTAAATTTCAATTAACTTAGATTTTTAGGTTTTGATTTCAAACAATTAGTTAATTTTTCTTTTCAAATTAATTAGTTTAATTAGGTTAATTATCAAACCTTTTCCATAAAAAATCACCAAAAACAATTTCTTTCCTCTACTTTACATTTTTCCTTCTGTATCAACATGTTCTCTTCTATATTAGACATATTGATCACATCCAAGGTGCACATTTTTAACTTCTCAATTTTATTAACATTCATTCTGTCATTCATCAAGTCTTTTTGAGCTTTACTCAGGTTGTCCCTTGTTTTCTAATCTGATTTCGGATGCCATGAAAAGGTTTTCTTTTCTCTCTAATAATAGGTTGCAATCTCTGGAGTTTCTTCAACACTATATACATAGGCTTGTCCAGGATTTCCTTCTTCTAATTTGCTTCAACTTCTTCTAGAAACCCTTCAGTAATAGCCACTACATTAGGGAATTTAAGGAAATTCCTCTTCTTCTGCCTCTAATCAATATTCTTCAAGATGAAGAGAGCATGGCCAAAAATGTCAGGCTCCAAGATCTTTAAGATAGTGTCCATATTCTGTTGGTGCCACAAAATATTCCCAATTACTCTATCAATTCTAGAATAAATTGAATCATTGTTATGCTTATTGAACCAGGTGAAGTGATCTCATATATTATCCTTTTTATACAAGCCATCTTTGTCCATTATGTTAACCAGGTCACTATATTCACTTTCTTGAACTAGATTCCCACCAATTCTATCTTGGATAGTCATTACATTATTGTAATCTTCCATCAGAAACCAATTCCCATTCAATTGACTATGGATATCTTCAATGTTACACCATAACTTTTTCCTTTGCTCCAAAGTATTGTAAGCATAGATGGAAGTGCACCACATTCTTAGTTCACCACTTGGAGAGTAAATCCCAAAATGGATAAATTGGTCTGTACTAGAGATCTCTACAATCTGCACTCTATTACTATCCCAAAGATTCCATATTCTACCATTTAAATGCTTAGTGTAGTTATCAATATATGATCATTTATGATCCAGCTTATTCCTTATAGATATAGCTTTATTCTAGTTAACTCTAGTTTCAATTAGGATACAATATCATGGCTAAGACTATTGAGATGGATTGTAATCTCTCTAAATTCCCCTGAACTATTCAACCCTCTAACATTCCAGAAAATAATCATGGAACATTCCCTGTGTCCATTGTAGGATCATTCCCAATCTTAAGTGCATCAAAGCCATTCTTACATTCATCCATGTTTGTGATCTCTTGTAACACAGCTTTACCATTCATGTTCTCATTGTTTGTCACATGGGTTCACGAAGGGGAGGCCTGTTCTATAGAATTGTTAGGGATACTTACCTCAACTAGCTGAATATTTTCCTTAGCTTGCATAGGTTTTCATTGCTTGACAACCATAGGGTTCTCCTTAGCACATTGGTGACCTATCTTTTGGCATGTTTCACAATACCTTGGTTTCCATTTAAACTCCACGAGTTGCTTAATTTTCTTTCCTTCACTGTCTCTTATTAAGATGCTTTCTTTATGTTTCTTAGTGATGTCTATCTCCACTAGGATACGAGCAAATGATATTCTTAATTTATTAGCAGTGCAGTCATTCATGAATAGTGGCTTCTCAATAGCACTCCCTATCTCCCCTAAGCTTGAGGCACTCCGCAGGTGTAAGGGAAGATGAGGTAGCTTGACCCAAATCGGAATAGTCCTGATCATATCCCTTTTAATGTTGAACTCAGGGCTCCAGTTATTCAGGACCATAGGCATGTTGTGAATCGATTATGGTCCCCTCATTAGCATCATTTCTTTGCCCAATTGAAATTTCATCAGAAAATAGCCTTCATCATGATAGAATAGTTCTGATAATTGGACAAACTTCCAAAATCTTAGCATGATAATCATAATCATAATAATATCAAAGAAAATAAGTTAAGAGAAAATAATAGTTTGCTTATTAGATCTAGTTTCTCTTAACTAATTTTCTTTGATATTATTATTATTATTATTATACATCTTCTTTCCTCATTAGATCTAGTTTAGCTTAACTTATTTTCTTTGATAAGTACTAGATTCTTTTAACTAATAAATTAATGGTTATTATATTTCTAGGTACATTAGAATAATCTAAATCTATAATCCAGAATTGAATAACAACCTGCAGTGGGGTTTGACCATTTGTTTGTGGCAGATATTTATACTAAAGACAAAAGAGAAAGACAGCAATAGAAACCATGCCTCAAAGAACGAATCTCTCTTTCTTTCACAACCCAGATTTCAAAATTTTGCAGCAAAACCCTTTTGAAATTTCCTTCGAATCATTTGGTATTAATCATGATTATCTTCCCTTCAGTACGATCGATTTCTCACCGAGTTCGCAGACAAAGTCTACGAAGTCCATGAAGTCTTCTGGAGATAAAGAAGTATTGCAGAATTATAAGATGGATCAAAAGTCATATATAGGTGTACGAAAAAGGCCTTGGGGGAAGTTTGCAGCAGAGATTAGAGACACAACAAGAGGAGGGAAAAGGGTTTGGCTTGGAACCTTTGATATTGCTGAAGATGCTGCTTTAGCTTATGATCAAGCTGCATTTTCAATGAGAGGTGATAATGCTCTTCTCAATTTTTCAGTTCAAAGGGTCAAACAATCTTTGCAAGAGATTCAATATGATTGCACAAAAGGATCTTCACCTGCACTTGCACTCAAGGAGAGACACTATAACCAAAGAAAGTTGTCATCAAAAGGTGTAAAGAATAATAATAAATCAGGAAAACAAGATCAATCACAGGAATCATCATCATCAAGTATTTTGGTGTTAGAGGATTTGGGAGTTGAATATCTTGAGCAACTTCTAACTATATCTGATAATCCAAGTACAAGCAACAACAGCTACTTCAAATCAACTTTTTGATTTCAGTAATTTTCTTTCTTTTTTTGACTTTTTATCCTTCTTGTTTTTTGGATTTTATACAACATCATTTATGTAGCTTATGCTTGTTTAGGTTGTGTATTCTCTTTTTTACTTTTCATAGGAAATAAACTTTAATCGTAATTTGAGTTCAAAGAGTAATAAAACTAAAAAACATGACAAGTACCTTCATAAGCATTCACAGTATTGTGTATAATGAAAAATCTTAACATTAAAACTCAATTTACTTTCAGATATAATGAAAAATCTTAACATTAAAACACACTCGATAAAAATTCACGCTGCAATGGTTGCAATGTGCATCGCAATAACTGCAACACTCGCATCGGCAACCGCATCGGTATAGTAATTTTCCTACCATTTGCAACCTTAATGTGTTTTCTACACCGTTCTCAAATTACAGTACCTGATTGCAATACATGATATAACTATTATAGCACTTAATAAATAAATAAAATTAATGAATATTTGAATCAACTAAAACCAATTGAACCATGGTTACGACTTATGACAATGAAAGCAATTTCATTCCATGGGATGAAACTACCAGAATGATTTACTCAAAAGAAGGAAAAGAAGAAATCAAGGCAACCTTATATTCAGCCACCAGCAAGGGTGATAGATCAACGTAAGTTGCAGTGAAATAGTATTAATCTGCAAAAATAGAGAAGAAAATGAGAGAAACGTGAATAGTGTTTTGTTGAAGAAAGATACTAGGGTTTCAAAGAGGCGGGGCGGGAAGGGAGGAAATCAGTTCTGTGTCTGATTCTGACAGGGTGAAGTGAAAACCCAATCAATATAATATTATTAATTAATTATTAATTGATTAATTAATTAGAATATTATTTCTTTTTATAAAAGTTTCAAAATCTTTCCTTCAAAAATCCTCCCAAACAGATTCTATGGATATATGGATATGTAATTACTCATAATATATAAGTAGAAAATGTTTGGATGATGTTTTTCTATTCTCTGCTCCGCCTCTAAATTTATTTACAATCTCCGTTATGAAAGAATATTTTTCCTCCGTCTCCATCCCATAGATCTCGACATAGATTTATAGAGATCGAATCTTAAATTTTTTTTTATACTTTTCAATTAAAACCATGACACTAATATTTTGTTATTTTTTTCATTTAAATAAAAAGCACATATATTTTGTATTTTTTTAAAATAAAAATACATTTTGCATCAATAAGAAGAAAAAAAAAGAGAAAAACATTTGTTGTTGCTAATATTTTTTCTCTAAAAAAATAATAAATATTAATAGAACATGTTGCTACAATGCTTATGCTAATTTACTATCACAATACTCTTGTTGTCCCGCGCAAGTGATTGATTATGTGTGAGTGTGAAAAATCATAATTATTAATTTATTAATTGAATGAAAAATATGTTATTAATGAAAGTAAGGTGAGTTTGAAAAATAACTACCACTAATGACTCTTCATTTTCTAATACATAAATATTTTTTTATATAAAATTATATTATTATATATTATATATTATATAAAATATAAAACTTAATTTTATCAAAAAATAATAATAAATAAAATATAAAAGTTGGAATTCACGGACGGAATATATTTTTCCAATCTCCGCTTTAAAGTATCGTACGAGAAATTTTTCCTTTCGTCCCCGTTTCTACAGGAAAAAAATCCTCAAATTTCGCTACTCCAAATAAATAATCTTCACAAAAATCTTCGTTAACAAATACAAATTGACATCCCTAATATCAGATGCATTTCTAATAAAAATAAATAGATCAATTATGACGTATTATTTTTTTTAGTTTTCAATAACATTAAAATTTTGATAAATTTATTGTTGAATTATAAAATAAATAAATAAACCTTTATATATTGAATATATAATGATTTAATATTAATATTTTTTTAAATATATAGACATACATTGTTATATAATAATATAAATAAAATATAATAAATATATATTATTGGAGTAGGGGCAGGTGGGTACTAAAGTGTATACACATATACCCTTATTCACTGTGTAATTACTTATATTCGTATGGATATATTTTACGTTTTTTATCATACTCGCAATGAATATTGTTTTATGGATACCTATTGCAGAATGGTCGAATTGCTATCTCTACAAAGGAAAAGTAGTGTCATGGATTAAAGTTTGTTTATAATCAGACTTAATGTTGAATGATGCAGGACTATATGTATTGTCGATAGAGCCTAAATTTATACTATATGCAATATCTAATTGAAGACAAGATGGTTCGGAAGATTTTTTTTTCGTGGGTAATGATTAATTATGTTGCTCAATAAGGAAAGAGTTAATACACGACAACTAGCACTAGACATAGGCACATGACATATTTTCGGGTTACTGCTAGAAAAATGACATGTATTAGTTAAATTAGCAACACATGTATTACTTATATAGAGAGAAAACAACCTTTGTGATTTAGTGAGTCAATGGTAAATACAAGGGATGTCTTTCTGCCTGAAATGTGGAAGAAATATACTAGAGGTTGATGAACAAAGTACTCAAGAAAGAAATAGGTGAAACGTTAAAAGTTTATATGGGTGACATGGTCTCTAATTGTCCAGCGAGAAAGAGCTACATGATGAACACCTCACTAACATATTTATGAGAGTTTGACAATATAAGAGGAGGATCTATTGATAAAAATGTAACTTTGGGGTCAGAGACTGCAAATTTTTGGCTTTTACCTAACATAAAGAGGCCTAGAAGCAAGTTCGAGCAAATGCAAGACAATCATCAGGATGCGGCACCAACAACAACGAAAGATGTAATGAAGTTGAGTGGAATGTTGACGACCTTGAATAGATTTATCTCCAAAGCCGCTATGTACGTATTTCCATTATGCAAGTTTCCAAGGAAAGAAGCACACTTGGAATGGACCCAAGAGTGAGAGCAAACATTTGTGTTCTTTATCTAGACGTCTCCAATGAAGTAGTTAGTGTCGTCCTCGTAAGAGAGGTGAATTCCACTCAGAGTCTGATGCACTTTATCTCTAAATTCTTAGTTGAACCCAAAACACGCTATTATAATATTGGCACTCATTACCCTCACCAAGAAGTTGTGACGGTACTTTCTAGCACATGTCATCGATGTCCGCACGAATCTGCAACTTAAGCAAGTACTTCTCCGACCATATTTAGCTAGATGATTAACTAAGCGGTCCATCGAGATATTTGAATTTGACCTCTCTTTTGAATCAAAGAAAGCCTTGAAGGCACAACTATTCACTACTTTCATAGCAGAAATGACTCTGGAACATTAGAGCCGACCCATACCTAAATAGTGTTCACTTATAGTTCATTCAATAGTCAAATAAGTGGGGCCGACCTAATATTGAAGAATGAATTTGGCTTGGTAATTAAGGTATACCTACGCTTTGAATTCTCTATTATCAATAGTCGAACCAAATATAAAGCTTTCTTCACCAGCCTCACATTGGTCGCCAAAATGAGAGCAGAAAATGTGAAGTTGTGAACATATTCCCAAATGCTAGTGTCGTAGGTCAATGGAGATCCGCTCCACCACATCAATATCCTACTCTATCATTCCACTAACTACTTATGATATCCTAAAATGATACACTTTTCTTGCCCATTAAAACTACTTAAAGGAATGTATCTCAAAGAGATAAACTCAGTGCACTGCCTCATACAACATGCTATTGTTACCATTTAAAAAAAGACTACAAATATATGAAGTGTGGATATGGGCATATTAGGAAAAAAAGGGATGTAGTGTATGAAGCAATAATAAGAAGTCTGGAAGGAAGAGATAAGAAATCTAAGAAATCCAAGAAAGAGAGGAAGGTGAAATCAATAACGTCATTATGAATCTGGTGTCATACAATATAAGAGGGTGTGGTAACATGATGAAGCATAGAAGGCTTGGTCAATTATTATAAAAATGGAAGGAAAACATGTGTTTCATTCAGGAGTCGAAGATTCAGAAGCTGAAGGATAAAGTTGTGAAAATTCTTTAGAGTAGCAGGGAGATTGGTTGGTCAGGTAAAGATTCTGAAGGACATTCAGGAGGGCTCGTAATTTTATGGAAAGAGCGATGTTTAGTTTCAAAGGAGAGGGATTCATAGGACTCTATGTTGAATAGAAAGGTAACTTATGTTATTTCATAAATGTCTATTCAACTTGTAGAGTTAGTAGTAAAAAATAAATGTAGGCTAGTTTATTGCATCTTAAGTCTACTCTACATCCAGGGGAGTGTGTTGTTAGGGGGTTTAACTGTATAAGAAGTAGGGATAAGATCCAAGGTAAGAATTATGTTCGCAATTTCAATGAAACGATGGAATTTAACAAATTTATTGAAAATATGGAGCTAGTGGATGTCCCCGTAATAGGAAATAAGTTAGCTTGTTCTAGTGTTGATGGTAGTGCAAGGAGTAGGTTAGATAGAGTTCTAATGACTGAAATTATTTTTACCTGGTGGAAGGTTAGTGGTCAGGTTGTGGGGGATAAATATTTATCTGATCATAGTCCAATATGGATTAGATCAAATAACCTAGACTGAGGTCCAAAGCCCTTTAAAACTCTTAGTTATTGGTATGAGCACAAATAATTTTTATGTTTTGTAAAGAGGGAGTGGGACTCTTTTGTAGTCAGGGGGAGAAAGGATTTTGTCTTGAAAAAGAAATTTAAGTTGTTGAGAGATAGACTTAGATGGTGGAATAGAGAGGTGTTTGGGTGGGTTGATATCAAAGTGGAAGAGGTTGTAAAAGACTTGAACAACTATAGATTTTAGAATACATTGAGAAGTTCTGGTAGGCCATTGACCACATGCCCACATGTGCCGTCCATTATGTGTGCTTAAGACAAAATAGTTTTATTAATTCTTCTAGACCACTAAAAGTTATCTGTCTCTTAAATATATAAAATTGCTTCATACACATGTATATAAAATTTTATACGTTAATCAAGCACTTAAGTTTGAATGAAAAACAATATTTTAAA